CGAAATAGTTAAGTTTCACATTGCGGAACTTATGAAAATCTGTTGACAAAGCTTGGATCTGACAACTTCTTCATGGTAACATTTTACCTCCTACCTTGTTGCAGAGGTCTTGAGTCGGCAAAAATCAGACCAAAAATTTTCTAGCTAGCTTTGACTTGTCAATTAAAACTTCCTTGCTGTTAAAAGAAAGACTTTTTAAAGAAGTTTTGTGCTGTTGTTATTCAAGTTGACTCAAAGGAATGACGAGTGCTCTATTAATGCTTGAGGAGGCATGACTTTACGTCAACAAGCGCGATAAGTACGCCAAGAGACAAAAGGCAAGAGGTCGCTCAGACGGAACATTCGCTTTCATCTGAATATTGAAACATTCGTTGAATTACTTTGTGTCTTTTGTGAATTGCACCCTTTTGTTTGATACGGAAAATCTAAACAATAGCAGATAAAATATATGTGCAGGGACAATAATTTGGGTGAAAAAAAAAGAAAAAAAATGAAAATTGATCAAAACAAAAGTCATTGAGTGATTTTGTTTGACCAGACGTGTTTTGAAATTCAGAATGTAAATTAATACTAGACCAGTAGACATAGTTTTTTCCATAGCGTGACAACTTATTTGATTTGCAATTTCACTGATGACTAATGTAAAACATGATGCCGATTGCGATTGGGCTTCCTGTGTCACTCCAGAAACATTGGGATACCTGTGGAATCAAAATGGTGGTGGTATAAATTTGTCAATCCTGAAATCTGTCATGTCCTTTTTACCGGCATTTCCCTCGGCCCCATTGCCTCCTCCTCTACCTGATATCAAAACAGCAAATGAACAAATTCAGATTTCAGAAAACCCAGAAAGCTCCAAAATAAAAGGGGTGCTAGAACAATGCTTGAGAATTGTTGAGGATTATGGGAGCAGTAACAACAGAAACTGGATCCTTTGTGATGTAAACTTACATGCAAAGCTACAAGGAAATGCACCCAGGTGAGTATAGATCAAAAACATGAAGGAAAAAGGGATTACACTGTATATATGTTTTTCTTAATTTGTTTTTCATCCCAATGCATTTATCTCACTGCAATTATTTCTTCCACTTCCCTTCCCAGAAACTGGTAGACCCCAGGGTGCGAAAACTATGGGAACATGGATGCTTGCTGTCCCTTTAAGGATTATAAATCAGTGTTTTAAGGGTCAACCCACAAGAGTTTGTGCATGAATGAGAATGCCTATGATCATCATTCACTGCAGTGTGATTGCATTAAATCAGATTTTTAACAACAATGCTTTTTTGTTATCATAAACTCTTAGAAGTCGAAAGTGGTGGATGATATTTTGAAAATGGAGCCAGTATGAAATTAATGATGACTTAACTATATGATTATTTTTTAATTCCTTGCAGATGTGGACTTGTAGCACTTAGTATGGCTGTTGAAATGGCTCAGCGTTTGTCAAAACAAACAGCGCAACCTTCAGTGGGCTCACCAACTCTTATTCCATACAATGACTTTGAATCAGAAATGATGGCTTTGTTAAAACTTGCAAAACTAAAGAAGTTTACAAGCAAAGGTGAAATGTTTTCAGCCAAGAATTTAGGTGTTTTAGCAAAAGAGTTCTATGGATTGGATGTCAGAATTACTGACTGTGGTTTGGATGATATTAGCGGGATATTTAATCATCTAAGTGAGGGAAATCCAATACTAGTACCCTATGATGCTAGTGCTAATCATGCTCCATGCTTGGAAAATGGGAATAAATCCCATTGGGCAGTTCTGACAGGTGCGTACTTTTCCATCTTCAGTACCGGATCCAGGATTTTTCAAAGGGGGGTTCCTCTTTGTTTTCGCATTTTCCTAAAACGAACTTTTGTACTGTGCCTCTCGAACTGTAGCAAATGTAATGTGAATGTATTGAATAAAAATTCATTGTACGATGGGTTTTCATTTTATTTCATTTATCATTTATTTTATTTTTTTTATGCTCGAGGGGGGTTCCTAGGAACCCATGGAACCCCCCCTGGATCCGCCACTGATCTTTCCTCTTTAGTCTTTTCTTTTTTCTTTTTTATTCTGAGTTTTGACATTTTAACTTGATTCTTCTGTTTTCTATTACCCTTCAATACAGTAATTATTTACATTGGCTTTTCTTGAAAAGGAGCAATATTCATCTATAACACCACACCATAATTTATGAATTGATTTGTTAATCGTCATAATTGGTTGGTACAAATAAAACCCTATTAAAGGACATAATGTCCTTTATTTTTGAATACATAATTAGTATTGCCTGCGATGTTTTTGTGTATAATCATTGTATACCACTATTATTCTGTTATTTTCTTCAAAGGAATTTTCTGCACATTTGAGGACAATGATTTTAACTGGGAACATCTACAAGAAAAGGCCACTGTAACAAGACTAGAAGTCAATGGAGGCAAAACCTCAATTTTTACACTTGATAATGCAACTAACAAATTACCAGAAAATTGTATACCTTCTACGTTATACTTACTGGCCAGGCAGCCCAAATCAAGACATGTTGGTGTTTGGTCATGGAAAGAATTAAAAGAAAGCAATGCTAATTTAGTAGAATATTGTCCTAATAAAGAAAGTTCAAAGGATTTTGTTTTACCAGAGGGAGGACTCAGAGAAGGTCTTTGTAAAAAGATACTATATTTAAAAAAAAAATAAGTGAATGAATTATAAATAAATTGTTCTTATTGTTACAAAATTTCAATCAATCAATCAATCATCAATCAATCAATCAATCAATCAATCAATCAATCAATCAATTAATTAATCAATCAACCATACAACCAAGCAACCATAGGGGTAGATTTAATAAAGTTTTTTTTTTCTGAGCAACCAAAAATGCATGTAAATAAGGGAAAGGATTGATTTACACCTGAAGCTCATAAAGCGCAGTCTGAAGCGAAATTGCTATTTATAGAGGACAATAGGATATAAGCGAAAGTGCAATGCATATCTTTCTTCCGGTTTATGTAAGACACAACAACTGACCCGAAATATGCGGGCTCTTTAACAATAGATGACAGGGCCAAGATGGCAGACAAGGTAAGTTAGTTTTGCCGGATCGGATAACGATGTCTTGTTGCTCTAAACATTGCCATTTTAAAGTATTTAGACTGATTAAAATGTTAACAACATGACTTTAATTCCAGCGTTTTATGTTGACTGGAGCGCAACGTGAAGGTGAGTTTTTGGTTAGAAAACTCTTGACAGCGCCTGAAAGTTTGTAAGATCACYGAGTTTCCTGTTGATTTATCTTCAGCGCTTGGTCKAACTTATAAACTTTGGGATTGTCATCCTTTTTGCTTACTGAAATAATAGGAAGTAACTATATTTCGTATTCTTTGTGAACAATTTCTCTATCAACTGAAAGTCTTGTTTGTCCTGATACTAACTCCGGTCGCAGTTGATAGTGAGCTATAATATTTGATCCGGCGGCATGCTGCTCATATAACCACACTTTTCTTCACACCACTTTATTAAACATCTGTCTAGATAAATCGTGATTTTATGTTTTCCTTTGTTATAGTAAATACAATCGTAAGTTCAAAGTGAATCAGAGATATGCGATATATGAGTTCGTTTCCTGTACAAACATTTCAAAGGAATTTCCGGCAAATTTCCTTACAAGCATAGTCACACCAACAAAATACTGTCACGTTTAAATTATATGAAAATAAGCGAGGTTCATTGTAATAATGTACAAATAAAACATTGTCCTGTGTGTTGTCTGTAGAATTGTATTTATAATTGAAAACTTATGTGAGCTTATATAACGCAATGAAGCGTCCAAGAAAATATTATCAAATTTTAACAAGTAACACAAGATGTTGTTTATTTATGAAGTGTATATTTAATTTTACCAGTAGTAATTTATCCTGCTGTTTGTAAATTAGTGGTTCTGATGTCATGTTTTAACTCTCTCCATTTGAATACTAAATCAAATGAGTTGTCAATCAAACACYAAGGAACACATGACTGGGTGTGGTCATTACAAACAGCTGTTTAGCTCTGTTGTGGGTATGTCTTTGTTCACTGGCATTTCCTCTGTTTCATCACTGAACACACTACTACAGAGAATTTTCACAGTTAGAAAATCTTCACAATTATAGTCTTTTTTACCAAATCTATTGGAAAAATGAATTCACATGTGAATGAAGAAGGTAAATTGTTTGATTCTATGACATTTTTTTATGCAAAAYGTTTTACTTGTATGTTTCTTGTTTGAAATCCAAGTGACAGGTTACATACACATTTTTGATTCTTCTTTTTAATATGCACAAAAATAACCATGGATATAAATTTTGCTTTTTATTGATTTTCTTAAAACAATTTTATTTAATTTTCCTGTGCTGTATGTCTTATAAACTTGTAGATGAAGAAATGTTATTCATGCAAGTCTTGAGGCGTGTCTCTTGTTTTCCTTATTCAAGCATTATTATTATTTTTAACCTTTATTCTTGGTGTTTTTTTGGTACTTCAATATTTCTATAAGATAGCAAATTCTTTTCCTTCATAAGTTTGCCAGTTTTTTTTAAAAAAACATAGTTATTTTAATGGTAGATTTCTAGAGTGTATGTTGACAGTCAGCTGTTGTTATATTGTTTTTTAACATGTGCTTTGAATTCTTTATATTTACCAAGACACCACATAGTTCCACACAGACTAGTTGCTCCTCATCAGAAGATAATATATATTGATTTTATCTAAGACAATTTATATTTCAATTTTTATATAATTTTTTAAATCTGTTTGAGGAGAGTACTTTTTGTCTTCCAATAATTTTGATAAGGTAGCGTTAGTGGTAAGTCTGGGTTGCCTACCACTGTCGCACAGGTCTTGATTAATACAACTATTGTTGCATTTTCTTTGAATGTCTACTTGAAATATATTTATGCTTTCTAATGATATGGATTGTAAAATATTTTAGCATTATCAAAAGTATTCAAGTTTGCTGACGTTGAAGAGACAGGATATGTTGATGTTGCCACTATATCTACACTAGCTGTACAATTACTGGGTGCACAGTTGAGTGACAATGAAAAGCAATCTATTACCAACAAAGCTGAAAGTAAAGCTGAGAAAGGTAGGTTAGGAAAATGCAAATATACTGCCATATACTGTAGTAGTACTCTGGCTACAGAACTTATCTGCATGATACTACAGTGGTTTCTTGATTTATTATCTATTTTTGAAAAAGTGAACTTGAAAAGTCAATTTCCATAAAACCATCAGAACGCATTCATGGACAGATAATCCAATGCATATTTCAATTTCTAAAACAGAAAGAGTCCATGAATAGTAAGAGACCTAATCATTTTACATTTTACATTTTAGTGCAAACTATTGTAGGTTCAAACTCCAGATTTCTGAATTCAGTCCAATAATCAATATCAATTTGAAAGTTTTATTCTACTAGACATTAAACAAAGCACATTGTTTTTTAGGGTTACTATCATACCAAAGTTTCATTGATATTATGATGGAGGCTATGCAGTCTATGACACATTGGGGTAAACTGACAACACCTCTAGATGGTTACGTAGGCTTTGACACAGTTCAAGAGCAAATACGAAAGAAGTCCCTCAAGAGAGGATTTGAATTTAACTTGATGGTGGTTGGTAAGTTAGACTAGAACTCTTTGATATTATAAAAGTTATTTGTATAATCAATATTTTGATTCTAAAGCCTTTGATTATTTGATGTTATATGCAACTAGGTGCCACTGGATTAGGCAAGTCCACAATGGTAAACACACTGTTTAAAAGTAAAATAAGTCGAACTACTGGAGTCCCRTCAGTCATCCCTAAAACAGTAGAAGTGAAATCTGTCAGCCATGGTAGGCATCACATTGCTCCACATATATCTTTCTTTAGTACTGTATAACAATTATTGTAGTACTGTAGTTGCTGTAGTACTGTGTAATAATTATTGTGGTTTGTTGTTTGTTTACAGTTATTGAAGAAAAAGGAGTGCGATTAAAGTTAACCTTGACGGACACGCCAGGATTCGGTGACCAAATCAACAATGATAAATGGTAAGATTATTGTARTRCTAGAYTATTTWACAATGATAAATGGTRAGATTATTGTAATGCTAGAYTATTTTACAAAGTCTACTAATACTACTAGTATTATGTTATATGAATATTTCACAAACTGTTTTGCTTCGGGTTTTGACACCGGAAACGAATGTGAAGRAGACCATAGTTAGTTAACTATGAGRAGACTAATGGTTTGCTTGATATACTCAGCTTTTTAAATAATAAAAAAATTATAATAAACCAACAGACATTTCTTTGTCAAATAATTTAATACATTTTCWTGGTCTTTCTAGCTGGGATCCCATCCTGGAATACATTAACGACCAATACAAGAAATACTTACAAGAAGAAACCAACATCAATCGCAAGGCTCGTATTCCTGACACCAGGGTCCACTGTTGTTTATACTTTGTTGCTCCTACAGGACACCGGATGAAACCAATTGACATTGAATTCATGAAACGACTAGACAAGTGTGTTAACATTGTTCCTGTCATTGCAAAAGCTGACAATCTTACCTTAGAAGAAAGGGAAGCCTTTAGAAGAAGAGTAAGTTGTTGTAGAAGTCTACAGGCCGATTTACATAATGACACTTGTTGGATAAAGCTGTATTCATGATATGTCCTAAGATTTTGAGCCTAAGTTCAAAGCTGGAGACAGTTGTAGGTTGAACACATCTAGTCGTAGAGCCATTAGCATTGTACAATGATATTCAGTCATGTAAGTGAAGTAACCATCACAAAGATATAATAACAATAATTTGTTTATCTTTACTATTAATGTTAGATACGTGAAGATATTGAAGCCAACAAAATCCATATCTATCCGATGGTAAAAAGAGATGATCTCGATGAAGAAGAAATTAGAGCTAACTCTAGAATAAGAGTAAGTCATCAAAGAGTAAAATATTTTTTTGTTTAATTTTTATTGATTGTTTTTTCTTTTTTTCAGGAGGCACTGCCATTTGCTGTAGTGGGCAGCGATCGGTTTGTCACTGTTTCGGGTAAATCCGTTCTTGGAAGGAAGACAAAATGGGGTCTTATTGAAGGTAAGGCATCAGTTTAATGAGASTCTGTTTCTTTTGTTTTTAKTTTAATAAAATGGTGACAGATTTTSCTCTGGTGAMGACACCAAGRAGAGATGTGAAGGAATCAACACTTTTGTTTGACTATGCTCTATTTCATGATTCATTATATATTAATGTCTTTCAATGAATAAAGAAACAACTAAACTGCATGGACTGATTGTGTGTTTGTCTATTTCAGTGGAAAACAAAAACCACTGCGAGTTTTCACAGCTGAGAGATATGCTTATCAGGTAAAATGCAACTTAGAATAGAAATTATCACATAGTGTTTTAGCTTCAGAAAGTTTCAGTAGATTTCACATATTTTGTAATTTTGTTGGCAGGACTCACATGCAAGATCTTAAAGAAGTCACAAACACCATTCATTATGAAAGCTTCAGGAAGGTACAATTAACAGAACAGCAGAAAAACAGAATTGACCTAAGTGACATCAGTGATACTCAAGAAAGCAAGATTTAAACTTTTGGAAACAAGCGATTTCTCTTTAATGGACTTGCTTTACTTCTCTTCCCTTAAGATGTGAAAAGGAAATTTACATTTTGCATTTTAAAAGTTATCATGTGAAGCTTTTTTGAGATATTTACAAATACTTTATAATTGAATCATTATAAGATTTGGAAGCTAAGGTAAACAGTATTGCAGACATAGGTCATATCATTGTAATCCCAACCAGTCAGTTAGTACAGCTTCTCGGCCATTCAATCAAATCTGCAGACTGGCCAATAAGAGAATATGTAAGTCAATCATATTTGGTCAAGTTTAACAGAGTTACCTTGTGGAATAGAAAATATTTGGAATATATTAAGATAGCATATAATGTTAAAATTGTGGCAATTGTTCCATCTTGTCTTTTTATCATAGTAAAATTTAATATCAAATAAAAATGTAATTTACAATGACATGAGTTTGAATCGAGTAAAGACACTTGAGCTTCCTGCGTAATCTCTATAGGTGTAATAAGAGAGTGGTCAGAGAGTGCCTTCTTGTTTGCGCACTTATCAGGCATGTGCAGAAGGAACGGGAGCCTTATTGATCTGGAGCTGCTAGTGCTTTGGAACGGCCTTAAGTGGGCACAATATACTACATCTACGACCTGATACTTGGATACCTGATACTGGTTACCTCTGGGTGACTCTTAATTAGTCGTATAACGATTGAACGCTGAAATACCCAAGAATTGGAATTGCCTTTGAGAAAGTAGGATGAACGCACTAAGTCCGTGAAACAAGTATTTTGATACTTAAAATACAATAATCAGTATTAAATAGAGCTAATTAAACGATAGGGTAGGGCCATAAGCAAAATTTTATGTCACCTATTTTTGTACTATTTTTGTTTCACGGATGAAGGGCGTTATAAAACTCTACGTTATGCGGGTTAAAAATGATGAACAGACACGCCCTCCTGGTAACTCTTTGATCATAATTTAGGGGGCTATTTTCAAAACTCGCAACGACCATAAGTTCCCACCTCCTCACCACTGCTACGAGTCCCACCCAGGATGCGTTGTGCTACAGTCCATGAGCGAATGGTCTCGGGAATGCGCATCACACCAGGAATCTGCCGGATCAATGATTGTGTCCTCGTCAGGAACTACCTTATGCTCCCGAAGTAGCAAGGCGAGTATCAATAAGTTAAGCACCTCTCCGAACGTTATTATCCAACCAGAGCGCGCGTATAGTATCGAATATATATATATATATATAACTTTTTTGCCATTTGTTATCAAATATTTCATCGGAAAATAACAAAATGCACATATGAAATAATTTTCCAGTGTGTAAATTGCAAGCATGAAAAATCAAGCAAGGCAAAAAATAGTAAAAAATAAATAAAAGTAAAAATTAGAAAAAGAAGAGGTTGACCATATTGGGACTCGAACCCATAACCATCAATTCGCAAAAGATTGGGACGATTCCCCCGAGACATTCTGTGAAGCTGAGGCGGCGAATCGATTTACATTCCGGTTAGAGATTTCGGCTCTTCCATGCTATCCCGATAATTGGTCCTAACTTTGCGCTAACTAAAAAAGCCAGTGAGGGAGAAGCTATCCGGCCCCTAGACACTGATGGATAACCCCTTGCACTAACTAGGCAACTATCGAAAGTATAACATCAAATTGGGGTAGTCTATTCGGTGAAAGTGTCAAGTGGTCTATTATTATGTAAATGAGCGTGGCCCAGTGGCGTACCGCGCTAAGGCGTTGCGACGAATCTGGGGGAGGTTTTGTAGTAGCGGGATCTAACCTGAGGCAGTATGTGTAATTATTTTTTTCTTTTTTTTCCTTATGATTTTTTCCCGCTTATTCAATGTCTGTTTTTTTTAAACTGATTATAGTTTTAGGATATATTCTAATTTTATTTCTATTTTTTCCAATAAAACTTAATTAGGCAGTCCATCTTTGCAAAGTCTTCTTGGAGTTCAAAGCTGGAAGTTTCCGAAAAAATACTTACCAATTCATTTTTTTTTTCATTTAGTTATCTATTGCTTTTTTCCTTTAAAATCAGCATGAAAATTTCACTAATTGTATTGAATTTTCTCTTCTTTAAAATTGCCAGCATGAAAATTCATAATTACCATTTCAATCTAGAGAATAAAACACAAAAGTATTTACATTGTCGGCAAGTTGAAAGACATAATTTCCACAATTTTTCTATTTTCAATTAGTATTGGCTGTAATTTCATAGTAAGCTTGTGTAAAATAATTACAAAAAAAGCCAACGTTCTTATCATCAGTTAAATTTATCAGTCTGATAAAAGCTTTTTTAATGTTCTTTCGATATTTTACAAAAACTTTCTATTTCAGTACAGCCTGAATCAATTATTGATCTGTTTATCATCAGTTGTCTGATCGAACCACGTCTTTCCCCCACTACCTCCCCCATGTGACGCATTTTTGCTTACAATTACGTATTCGCTTGGCTGCGAAGGTCGGGCTCGGTGAGAGAGCCATGAGTTGCTGTATTTTTTACGTTTTATAGCTACAAACCAAAGTTTTTACAATATTTTAAGTTTTCTAATTGTTAGATAGTGTATTTGCCAAGTTTTTTATTCATTATGGTTCAGGAATATCAGTCGCCGGTTCGAGTTTACAAATACCCTTTTGAACTAGTAATGGCGGTGAGTATGAACTTTGCAAGAATATCTTTCTGATTGATATAATTACGACAAGTTTGATCGGTCTTTATTTAGAATATATCAGATATCAAGTAGGACATGTCCTAATCCATGAACATTGTTCACTATCGTAAAGTTTATTATCCAATGTCAAAGCCCGCATTTCGTAAGACGTCCTTTCACGACTTGGGGTGATATTCATATTCTGTCTCTCGGTATATTTGCTATAAGCACTTGAATTCCTTTAAGTAACACTCATTTTATAAATATACAGTTAGGTATCATGACTTGGCATAAGGTTATGTCTTTAGATCAGAGTTTTTGTGAGTATTCTCAACGCCTACACATGTCCACGTACRTCGTCCCTCGTCTCAAAAATGAACGACCACGTCTAATTTTATATCATTGGATTTTATTAAGTTTATATTTCTATGTAATTTGATTGTATCTGAACAATTTCTTGGTGTTTTTTAGGCCTACGAGAAACGATTTCCCACTTGCCCTCTTATCCCTGTATTTCTTGGCAGTGACATTGTTTCAGAGTATAAAAGTGAGGATGGCGCAGAGCATGTTTTGGAGAGACGATGCAAACTTGATGTTGATGCTCCTTATTTGCTTAAAAAGGTAGAATATAAAGCTTTTAAAGTATATCTTAATTATCTGTCATTCTAAATGGAGTTTGTGTTTGAAAGGCAACTTCACAGGTTCTTGCGAAATATGATCGTCAGTTTTCATGCACTTCAAGATCCAAGACGTGAAATTATTTTTCCCCTAGCCAGAAGTCGATTTTATCATTCTATATAGCTCCGGAGATTGCTTATAACATTGTCCTGATGAGAAGTAACGAAGTTTTGTCTTTTAGATAATAAAACCTCATATTCTCACCCGAAAACCTTCCCAAAAATTCAATATTAACGCTTATTTATTTTTATTGTTGGCTCCCCGCAGCTAAAATACCTGTGATTTTCACTATATTCTTTCTATTCTGTGCTAAAAATAGTGAAACCATACTCGTAGAAAATTTATGTGATTAAGAGATATTTGTTTTGTTCCTGCAGATAATTGGCGTCGAATTTGTATATTTCAACCAAACCAACAGCCTGAACCGACGAGAAAGAACGCTTAAAATTTCTGCATACAACGAGAGCTTTTCTTCCCGTGTTGGCGTTGAAGAAAACTGTTATTATTCGGTAATATTCTGGAGATTTCTGAAAAGTTCTAATTTTCTAATTCTAATTTTCTAATTTTTCTACTAAGTCTATCGTTTTCATCTTTATCTGGATAGGGAAACTGATATCTTTAGTTGTGCTACTTGGAACAGATTTTCAGGACGAAAATATCATAAAAACAAACAKATTGTGTGGATTAAATATGCTGCATAACACAGCCATGAATTATAAAATTATAGTGATTTTTTTTAAATCGTTTCGGAAGAATTTATTTGACAATAACAATGACCAATAAGGAATAATTAAAAACATTCTCCAAACTCTTCACTCAAAATGTCAAGTTTTGATGCCTAGTTTTTTCATTGTGGCCTATTTGCWGCTTTCACAATATTCCTCTACTTTTGTAGGATTCTAAGAATACCAAAATTATTTTCTAAATACAAGTTTGCCAAAACTTCCATGCCTGCTGCATTTCTGAAATAATTGGTTCATTAGTAAACAAAGTGGGGTTCTTGCCAAAACAGATATCTTTGAATAACAAACCAAAGACCTTTAACATAGAATATACAATAGTTGGACAGAGATCAACAACCAAAACACAATTATTTTTTTATACCTAGTAAAATATTCAATGAAAATATTTTACATTATTCAGATTTTTCTGCAGTTGTAATGAGAGACCTTATGGCTGTGTTTACCGAAGTACAATTAATATAATGATATACAGAAACAAAACATGTGATAATTAGAAGGCAATCAATAATGATTGGATTTCTCATATGTGTATCAACATCAAATTTCTCCTTTTGAATCTTCTAGTTATATGSGAGATCTTGGATATTCATCAGTCATCAATTGCATCGTAATAATTTTAGTCAAATAATTGTTATAATTGGACTTAAAAATTTTATCTTCCAATAATTAAATCATCATTGTTATTGTTSGAGAAATTTATTTATTTTTCTGTTCAAGGTCCATCCAGATAACCCTGATTGGACTTGTTTTGAACAAGATGCTAAGCTTGACATTAAATCATTCTTTGGATTTGAAGCAGCAGTTGAGAAACTTGCCATTAAATTATATTTACAGAATATTAAAAAGGTAAGAATAGTGTGCATCACAATGATCTTTAAGTAAGAGTTCTATATTTATTTTTATGATTTATCTGGCATCATGAAATTATTATATAACCAATCATGAAGACATAATGGCTTCCTCGGGAACCCAGGGGTAATATTCTGTCGTTCGTTCCTCAYTCCCAGAAAAAATACCCTCACATACTTTTCTAGTATTTTAACACCTAAACATGTGGTTCATTAACAGGGTAAAGAAGTGATACAGCATTATATTGATGAACTAATAAATGATGGTGTAACACACATTGCACCYTTCCCTGGTGCAGTAAGTAGACCAAGAACAAGAAGCCTTCTTCTAGAAAATGCTCCAGAAGGCGAAGACAAAACTGTGTTAGTCCCAATTGCCAGCTCAGCTGTTGATGGTACTGAAGCGGCTGATGCTACTGCCTTGCAAGGTAGGATGTAATGATACTTTACTGATTTTGAATAGAAAGGARAGAGACATAGTCTGTAGTTTTTTTAGTGATGACTTTTTCCAAAAGTTTGCAATGAGTCAGGTCTTTGTTGCCCCATATGGAGCTCACTCTAGTTTTCGGGTAGGTTTCACCTTAATGGGGTATAGAGTATGACCCTGTCTCATAGGTCAGTGATAGCTCACATGTTTTTGTCTTATTTCAGACTGCAAGCTAGACGATGTATATATTCAAAGATTTTTAGGAAAGTTAAATCCAAAAGAAGAAAACCAACTTATACAATTAAGAAAGAAATTAAGTATGGCCCATCAAGGAAAGGTAAGGACTATGTAAAAATTGATATCACCTGTGAAATTTTCCTTGWAAGTAGTGCATAAATGATTGTTGACTTGTTTATTCATAGATGCCAAATGATGCTCATTTATTAAGGTTTCTTAGAGCAAGAGACTTCAACCTTGACAAGGTAATTGTTTACTTGTGATATTAAATTTATATTTTACATATTATAAATTATTGTGATGTGGTGAAAAGTCTGATTGAATTATCATATCTTTTGTCAGCATTTAAATGCAGCAATTCAAGTAAAAAGTGTTAACAAGCAGACAGGGATCCAGGACAAGTTATTTTATAAAGAATTAATTTTATTTTTAAGGCATATGAGATGCTCTGTCAATCCCTAGCATGGCGAAGACATCATCACATTGATAGTATCCTAGATACCTGGAAGCCTCCAGAACACCTCCTTGAGTATTATTGTGGTGGCTGGCACCATCATGACAAAGGTTCGCATCTATTTTAAGCTTYTTATATCTTTYATTWTAAAATTTTTGATATATAACGCRCGCTCTGATTGGCTGASGACCGTGTTTATATCAGAGGACAGAGACATGGCTAACCGRAAAAATTGGCTTTTCGCTCGAAAAWTTATTATTTAAGAAATATAAAACGGCCGCTTGTGTCTCTATCCTCTAATATAAACATGTTGGGAGTTGAAAAACACTCGAGAAGCAAGAGAAACACTCGCTACTCTCGTGTTCCTAAGCTTGCTTCTCTCGTGTTTTTTGAACTCCCACCGTGTTTATATCAGAGCACAGAGACACGCATGCCGTTTTATATTTCTTAAATAATAATTTTTAAAAATTGTGGTATTTTAAGAGTGTTGACTATTTAGTTAGTATTATTAGTTGGATGAATTCTGTATATCATTACATATCATTTCTAGAGGGCAGACCTGTTTATATACTCAGACTTGGCAGTATGGATGTCAAGGGATTGCTTAAAGCTGTAGGTGAAGATGGTTTCTTAAAACATGTAAGTATTATGCAATGCCWTGTATCTCCACAACACARGCAACACACTGTATGATCCAGGAGYCCTACTTAGCAATAATGACTCAGAAAATATTGAAATAAGTGAATATTGCAGCTAGAGACAAAGTGTAAAGTATGGTCAGCATGGAAATGGTGTAATTTTTGAACAAGAATATGAAATATGTTTTGTCAAGATGAAAATTATTTACTGGTCTAGATTTGATAAGACTGCTTGAAATTCATTTATGTAATGGCTTTAAAAATAACTTTTTAGGTTGTTTCAACAAATGAAGAAGGGCTCAAAAGAACAGAAACTCTGACCAAAGAAACAGGACAACCAATAAGGTACAAAGATATCTCCTTGACTATACATTTTGTCACTTTGGTGTTATATAGAAGATTTTTACTTGAATAATAGAATTATTTACAATTATTTTCAGTTCCTGGACATGTATCTGTGATTTGGAAGGGCTTAGTATGAGGCATTTGTGGAGACCAGGTAAATAATAATTACTTGTTATTACTAAACAAAATCATTAATAATTATTACATGTAGATTATATTAGAACGACATTCTAAACTACAAGTAAGAACAGTCTACTATTATCTACCACCAAGAGACAAAATATTGTGATCCAAATAATTGGATTATTTTTTGTAATATCACTCATTCAAAAACAATATGGAAAGTGATGAGCAGCACATGTCGTACATCTATATCATCTCTTATTTCATTATCACAGTAATCTTTATGCCAAACACTAGTATTCTTGATAAGCCGGTATGTTTATATTTCAGGAATCAAGGCTTTATTGCATGTTATAGAGATGGTCGAATGTAACTACCCTGAGACCATGGGTAGGCTGTTAATAGTACGAGCACCTAGAATATTTGGTGTATTATGGACATTAGTGAGCCCCTTTATTGATGAGAATACCAGAAATAAGTTCTTGATCTATGGTGGCAATGATTATCAGGTGCGTTTCTTGTATTTTTGTCTTAGTTTTTGTTATAAAATATGATATAAGAGCAGATTCGAAGACAATTTATTTCATGTGAGTGTGAAAAAACTATGTTTCTTCACCATAATTGTGCGTTACTCAAGACATGTTGTTCAAGTTAATCTTTATATAGCCTTTCAACTTGTGAGGTTCTGCTATCTTGCCAAATGTCTTCCATTAGCAGGAGCAAAAAACAAAGTAATCTTACATAAACAACTTACATCTCAACAATGAATTGTTTATGTATTTGATTAATATATTTTTTRATCTGTCAACAGGGCCCTGGTGGTTTGACTGATTACATTGATGGTGACTTTATYCCTGATTTCCTTGGGGGTCCTTCCGAATGTAGCATCAGAGAAGGAAGACTGGTGCCTAAGAGCTTGTATAGGTCTTTAGAATTTGATGGCAGTGAACAGTCATTTGGTAGTGATATCTAYCATACTGCACATGTTAGCAAGGGATCACCTCACGAGGTTTGTCTTTTTTATTAATTGTGGAGATGRCRGTCTGAATATGTCAGTCAAAACCTACAAAAATAAWATTGAATGGCTATAAAKTTTCCATTTCTGGTGAATCATGTGTTTTCAGTGCTTGAAAACTGTTTTTTATAACTGGTTTAGTAATCAAACTTRTTTTAAATAACTAATGAGAAAACAATATAGTACAGTTTGTACATCAAACAACTCATATACAGAGTTGTCAAGATTTCCATTAGCCTATGCTTCAATTTTCTCTGTCATTTTCTTTTATAATTTATCACTGATACTGAAAATGTCATTTTCCAGGTACTGGTAAGCATTACAGAATCAGAGTCTGTTATCACATGGGACTTTGATGTCATGAAAGGAGATGTAACCTTCACTGTGTTCAGACATAAAAGACCCAGGGAGGCAATGAGTAGTACCAGTGTTAACAGTCTGGGCAGCAATGCTTCATTGAATCAATCAGGTGTTGTCGCTGGAGTAGATGCTGTTGTAGTTGAAAAACCAAGGCATTGTCTTGATGGAGAGTCAGTCCAGGTACAGCCTTCTCTTTAATGACATTTGATTTTGTTGATTTTAGAGAAGGGAGAGGGGGGGGGAGGGTATGAAAGGTTTGCTCCTCACCTCCCTCCCCTCCCCTATAGCATACACTATGATCAATACTAACCATTCAATGCTATTATTCATCACAGGGTACCCATGTTTCTTCAATTCCTGGTGTCTATGTTCTGCAGTGGAAGTTYAAGACTGGTCTGCCATCTGGCCAAGCACATACCAGGCATAATAGGGCAAAAGTCATGTACTATCATGAAGTATTAGCATCAGGAGACTTCAGGTAAATTGTTTGCATTCATTGTTTTAGTGATAATTACCATTGGTTCAACAAACTGTACTTCTTTGGGTACAGATCAAAGAGGCACGATTCCAGCTCAAATATATGTATGCTTTTACTAAATTATCTGACTGATCAAGCCATGTGTAAATGATATCACAGGATTCATTTTATTGTATATAATTCCAATAATATAATTCTTGTCTTAAGAAACATTACCAAAATTATATTTCAGAGGTTCAATATCAAGTTTAGAGTCTTGTCATAGTGGATTTTCACAGYTGAGTGTTTCAACCAATACAAGCTCAGGAGGYAGTCAGGCATCGTCTAAAGTGAGCAGGTAGCAATTAGCCAAACCTTGCTCTAAACAGTAGCTGCATCTTGTTTTTACTTCATGTTCAATCTTCCYATTTTATTTCACAARAAAAGCACAATATAAATGCATGAAAGAATATTCATTTCTTGTGTTTGTGTTTGTGATTGTGTTTACTTTGCTTATGTTGCTGATGTAAAACAAGCTTTGTCAATGTAGATCTTGTTCTTTAGAGAAATATTTTGAATGTACCGAAAGAAGATTTTAAATCTATGTTAAAGAATTCAGACCCTTGAACACCAGCATGTTAAAGACATTTTCCCTGTACAAAAATGTGAGTTAAATGCAGGACATTTGGCTTCTGGATACTAAGTAAAGCTCTGAACAACATTCTGTAGCAGTATTTTGGAAATTAATCAATGAAGGAATAGTGTAATAAACTAGGAATGCAGACTAATTCGGTGGGAATTAAAGAGAACTTTGCTTCATTTTTCATGGTCCCCTTTTTTGTATCCAAAAAGAAAAACAACCAAGTCAATCAAAGACATGCAGTTGATTCTTCAGATGTTTCTCTTATACTGAATATCAGTACATAATTGGTTTAATCTTCTTTTGGTAACAACATTATCATGTCCTTAGTGTATACACTAATATTGACAAAAAAAACTGAATTATTTGAGTGATTTTGAACCTTAAATGAGCTGATTACTGTTGAAWTATAGCCTTATTAATGGCTTTAATTTAGAGCAAGGTTTATGACCAGAGTATAATCTATAATTCATATTAATGATAAAATTATATGTCATTAAAGTATTACAATAGATGCATTTTATTGATGCCGTCAATGAACGAGGCGTTGTGACTTCCTGCTATAATAAACTCAAATGCCATATAATCTAATCCTACATTTTTTTTACTAAGCATTGCTGTACAATAAGTCAATGAATGACAGTATATTAATCAATGTTCTGTCAGCTGCTTTTGAACTAGCATGCTTACTAAGTGTACACACAGCACACATTTTATTAATGTAAATATCTGCTTGGATATATTATTTGTTGCTCATATGCATTCCAGTACATAGACTTGTTAAAAGTTAGAATCTGTTTGTAYTCACACTCGGGCACMAAGTGCAAAAACTTTTTGAAAGTCTATTCAGTGCATACAGTATTTACGAAATCTGTTTTGTATAAATACAGTTTATTAAAATACAAGTTTACCATCTGTGGAAAAAAGAGAAATTACCAGTAAAACAATGTATATGAACTGACTCTCTTAATTGCCTTCTATTTCTGCAAATTCATTATATATATATCATCATATTGTAGGTTAAGATAGTTTTTGAATTAATATTTGTAAATATATCATATTTGGATTAGAGAATAGTATAGTTAGATTCTTGCTAAATAATATTGACACGTAGAATATTACTTGTAGCTTGACTTAGTCAAAAGAAGTAGAACCTAGCTTTATAATGAGTCAAAAATTAACTTTCATTATATTGTCAAAAATGTTTTTTACTACAGTTTGAGCACTATTATTTGCTCAAATATTTATTGAGAATATCTCCACTGGAGATGAAATTATTATATTTGGCTTACTTTTCTTATTATTTTGAATGAATCTAAGAATGAATCTTAAAATAATATTCAATTCAGTCAAGTTTTTTTTGCATGAATGTACATTATTGTGGAATAGTACATTTATTTAGGTTTGGAAAGAAAGACTTTGGATAGATCTTCTTGGTTTGACTTGTTATAGATTGTCTTAGGTTCATTTTTCAAAAATGAAAAAAATCAAAGACAAGGAAGCTAAATTTTATTTACTAATTATCACCAAACCAAGAAGGTCTATTTGTTAATGGCACAAAGTGTCACACCAAGGACTTGTAGGAAAATAAGAAATTCCAGAAAATTATTAAATATTTGCATCATTATTTGAATTAATTAATTAATTAAAATAAAAGTTTATAAGATAATATAAGTGACAAATTGATGTTGATTGTAATATCTTTGGAATAAATTAAATTTACCATCATTTCAGAGGTCTTTATATATAGTTTTTGTATGGTTCATGTACTCTTTCTGCCTTCCTATCCATGCTCTATTATTCCTTTCTTAACTGAGGGAGGGATTTCAAACTACCAGAGGGATTTCAAACTACCAGAGGGATTTCAAACTACCAGAGGGATTTCAAAATAACTGGAGATGATTGAGTCAACTGTATTTCTCACAAATTTCTATATTTTTTTTACTTACAACCTGAATATTATCAAACTATTATTATTAATTATTATTTTTCTCTAAAAGAAGTAACATTCATCAAAGTGGGTTTTAGTCTCAAAACAGTTCTGTGGACTATAGTTAAATATCAAATGTTTTCTCTCTTCTTTGTGGCTCTTGAATTTGTGGTCACTCATTCTTGCTGCAAGAAAATAAATAAGAGTATAAAGAAATAATTAATAAAATAATCACATATATTTAACTAGCTCTGGGTTTTGACTAGTTTTCCTTCCGTAGCTCAAAATTACAGCCTCACTTGTAAAGTTTCACATTGTTTGTTTCTACAAAAATATCTCTACAAAAATAAWATATACCTTGATTGATAAAGAAGTTTGCCAAATACTGCATTGCCTCTATGGCTTTATATGAATGGTCGATATCTTCTGCAAGTGTCCATTCAAACTGATTCTTTTCTGGGTGGAATTGACTTCCATAGAATGGGTAATTGATGGCTAAACAACAGGAAACCGAGCTTTGTTAGCAGCTTGAACATTAACACTAAAATTATTGCATTTATATATGTATTATTATTTCAATGATTATACCTTCAACCATGGAAATAAAATTAAGATGTTTTCTGCCCTTGTTTGTYGCTATTATTCTGAAAAAGTCTTGTAGTGCCTTTTCCTTCTTGAACGTCTGAAATATGAACATAATAAGATGCACATCCTAGAAATTGCCAGTATTTGAGATATAGATATATATACAWAGTCAAGGATATGGCAAAAAAGYATTAGCACTATCCCTGYCCTGGTATAGGCTTTGAACATAGCCTCATTTGCAGACATAAGTTYATTGTYYGTGAGGGAACTGGTGACCAACACTAATAACCTCTGCAAMAGAGGCCACTTGAACAAGGCATTTACAAGGCTTTTAAGTACAATCAATGAAACGGAACAGGGATATCTATTTAACAAAACAAAACGTTTAGATTTGACAAAGCCATCAAGATTATGCGTACAAGGTTCTATGTTTTTGTACTGGATTTTAATCTATCTACAGGAATACAATTGAATTCAAACATAGCTTCAATTTTGMAAATCTTACTCATACTTAATCTTGTAATCATCAAATGTAAAGTTCCCTGATATTATATCTTACCTCAACACTAATGCAAGCTTTGTGCATATGGATTGCRATGTCTAAAGTACGAAGATATTTGATGACCTTTTTTGGTGCAYTTCTGAACAGTCTGCTTTGTTTGAAATCTAATTTTATATAACAATGAAATAATCATTGGTTAATAAGGGATTTTTTTGTTGAATATGAAATCTAGGAAAATCAAAATAGCCTAATCTATTATACCTTTTTCAAATTTCACAGACAATGGTAAATTTTCAGCATCACATGAGTCTCTAATTTTCTTTTCCTTTGCCACCATGATGTGAAGCATCTCAAATCCTAGACAGGTTGCCCATATTGGAAACACTGAACCTTTATCGTTTGCCTAAAATCAACCATTGATTTTTTTTTTTTTTTTTTACTTTTATGCATACAAATTGTACTTAGAAGAGGCACATTTGTTCTTTCATTTAGATAATCTCAAGGATTTTTTAATCATATATTAATCAGTAATGCCATCTTGTTTATCCATTTTTCCATTTTTTTATTTCTCCACAAAAKTTTACTATAATACCAGTCATTCGTGTTTACCTCTATAGCCAACTTGAAGAGAACTTTTGCTGTTTTTGCATATTTAGAATTGTATACATCTACTCCTCCTCCAGGTAACAAAATCCTGTACAGGAATGGGTAGCGATTTATTTATATTTAATTCATGCTGTCTTGTTTGTGGTAGCGTATCACTTACCCATTAATGGAATAAAAGAGCTTTCTCAATTCTGGTTCTGTTAAATTGTTTCTATATAATGGATAAAAACGATTAACAACAGAAAAGCCTCAAAAACAACCCGGAAGTAGATTGCAAAGAAATATAACGAATTCTAATGATTATCTTTGCACCTTATAGGGACAACTCTTCCACCGGCTGCTTCAACGTATTTAATATACGACGTTGCAATATAACTATCRCCATCTGGAATTAACTTTTTAAAGCTGGAATCGTCCTGAGCGAGTATACCTGCAAAATAGATCCAACGTTATAGACAGGTTTTCTTTGATTTGGAAGTATAATTAAAATGTTCATGATTACAATACAAAACATTACAATAAACTTTATTTAACAAGGGTAACACATGACAGTTATGATTACAGAAATAGCAGACGTAAACAACATTAGCGGTTTCTTTAAAAGAAAACGGTTTAGTTTGTTATGTAAACACTAATATCAAAACGCGAATGGCTTACCAATGATCGGCCTGTTTGTTTTGACATCCTTATCHCCGCGAAACTCAATCGAACGCTTTCGCCCGTCGGTGAGTGAGATAAAAACGAATGAAAGCACAAATAACAATAAARMTTTTCGTTCAARAATCATTGTTTAGTCTTCCGTAATCCCTGTTGTTGATATTGTATCGACGGCAATGATCTCATGTCGTGATCACTTAGCACCTACTTAGAAGCTGTGAACAGCTACCAGTAACTCCGTAAAAAACAAATAAAACGGTATAAAATTCTTATTGTTTTATGGTTAGCTAAGCAAATTCATACTCATCGAATTTTATATTTTCTTTAAAAATCCAAAACAACTATACTTTTGCTTGAAAAAAATGCGCGAAAATATTTTGCCGCGAAAATCTCAAAAATATAAACAAWCAAAACAGGCAGGCGTTCCTTTCTATAGTCCCATGATGCCATGAGGYTCAACAATTCAAGATGGCGGCGCGCTTGAGGCAAGTTGCGGTATATAGAAGAAGTTTGAGCACAATTTCACGGCGGAAAATTGCCTCCGCTAAACGAGCTGATAAAGTGATAGACAGAATAATCCGTGTTGATCATGCCGGAGAACTTGGAGCTGATCGCATTTATGCTGGACAGTACGCGGTGCTGCGAAATACTAGCGCCGGCCCCGTCATCAAGGTACGTTATGCAACACGGTAGTTATCAGTACGAGGTATTGACAAATAATAATAAATAATATCTTCTAACTTAAATAAGTCTAAGGGACGCTGCCTTATTATTCGATATGTGATATGATTTTTCGTCATCTAATAATCACTGTTTTTTATTAACTAATATAACTTATTGTAATTTCTATTTTGTACAACTGATTGCATCAGCTGTTCTCTTTCATGTCGATTGAATTTGACAATTCATTGAGCTTTGAAGTGATGAAACTCAAGTTGATATTGATCAATCTTATAGCCAAACTGGCAATGATAGGATGGTTAAAGGTTGTAGCTTATGACTGCATTGTTAATKTTAATAAGGCTAAATAATATTTTCCAGGAAATGTGGGAACAAGAAAAGGATCATTTAGATAAATTTGAAAAACTAATAAATGAGAGAAGAGTTAGACCAACACTACTACATCCATTGTGGAATGCTGYTGGTTATTTACTAGGTAAGAGCTGATGATGTGTTGACAAATAATGTATGAATTATTAGTCCACAGAAGCATGCTAAGAAACTCAAGTGCTGCTGATAAAATATTTTTTATCTCTCGTCAATGTTTATATGAAAGGATAGATAACAGCCAAATATATAATTTATTTCTCTGGCTTTTTTAACCAAACCTCATCACCTGAAGTCAATTACAAATATATATATAATACCCATCTGTGAACCAGAAAATAATATATTTTCAAGAGCCTTTGATTTTGTACAAAGACCTTATTCAAAACAATGTTTTGTATAATATGATATCTTAGGTGCTGGTACTGCATTACTTGGCAAAGAAGCTGCCATGGCATGTACAGTTGCAGTAGAAGAAATCATTGGTGATCATTATGATAGGTATGTACACCTAACTATATGTGTATATGTACAGAAGTAAGATGGTAGCCCCCTCCCCCCCATACACACATACACCCCCTCCCCTCTCCCCACTCACATCCCACATGTACATCATACAATGTATGTACAATGATTGTAGATGTGTGTATATTTCAGCCAACTTAGAGAATTATTACAAGATGGAATCCAAGAAGAGCATAAAGATTTACTTCAGGTATGGATGGATCTTAAAAGTAAGCTTCATTTTTTCAGAAAAAAAGCATGTTGATGATAAATAACAAGAATAGCATCAATAAATAAATGTCTAACATTATTGTCTTGTTTTCAGACAATTCAACAATTTCGCGATGATGAGCTTGAACACTTAGACAAGGGCAATGAACATGGAGCAGATCAGGTATTGGCTAATTGCTCTTGTAAGGCTTTTATTTCAGATTCAAATTTGATATAATAGTATGGTAAAATCATATAATTTATTATACAGTTATATGGTGAAAACCTTTTTCTAAGTTATCAATGTTTTGTTATTTTTTCAGGCTCCATTTTATGGATTCCTCAAACAGACAATACAAACAGGTTGTAAAATAGCAATAAAAATAGCAGAGAAAGTCTGACAGTACATACCTTTTGTGGTTAGTAGTTAGATAAAGGACTTTATTTTCAACATCAGTTACTTCTGATGTCACTTTTTGTTTGTATACATCTTACCTGTGTAAATAGCTGAAATTGCTTTGCCATCTTCCTTCTCCACTTTAGTATGACAGTGTATGTGTGAAGATCTTATAAGGGCTTTGTAAGGTCAAAGCTTGCAGTCCTAAGTCAAGAAAATTTGTTGCTTTCTGTGAATCAGATAAGTGAATGATGCTGTGGGTAGAATTAATGAAATAATTTTATATTGTTAATTATTATATCACCATACTAATTTATTTGCAAGCAGACTGAATTAATATTAAGTGCAACGATTGATAAAGTCCACACAAATCAATAAAAACAAACTACTTTATTGTTAAGAAAATATTTTATTACCAATAAGGGCATGATGACAATTGTTATGTTTCTACTTTATGCATTCTTTAATTAAAGTAACCCAATACTGAATATCAGTCAACTTATCACTTATTTATTCAAAAAGGTTTAGTTATGGGATATCTGTTTTGTATACTACAATGGATATTTTTGTACAACAGTTAAACTTGAGTATCAAAAACGGTTTACATTTTACATGAAACTATTTATCTGTGTTTATTTAAAATATTTGAAAATTCTTGGGTTGATTGTTGCAACTGTCAAGTAACATAGACATTAGATTAGTGCTGTTTGCCATCATTCAGATTTGAAAACCTTAATTTAAACATGTACATGTATGTTTGTTATAAAAATGATAGTCCTCACAGCATTCATGTAGGCAAAGTTAATGCATCTTAAAATGGTGATCATTTTTACAAATATACAATCATCACTCTAAGAATCAAGTGATTGCAGTTATTTGGGATAATTACAGATCTATCGACTTCTTGTGCTAGCTCTCTAATGTAATACTATATCCCAAATCTTGCACTACATCCAATCTTCCCAACTCTCGCAGTATGTTTACTAATTGTTCTAAACTGCAGTTTGGTTCTCTTCGTTCCCAAATTGTCAACACTTCATCAGTTGGGGAAAAATTAACAGAACGGCAAGCTTTGTCTTGGAGTTCCATAATTTCAGCATGCGTGAATCCTAGTGACCCTGCAACCTGACGCCAGTCATGATTTTGGGAGCAAATGGTGACGTCTAGTGTGCGACAGACCTTTTGTCGTTTATTGTAATCTGATAAAATAGATCTTCTCACTGGGCAGCCCGAGGGAGAACCGTATGATACCTAGCAAGAAGTAACTTAAAGTTAGTATTGGTGAAGAAATGTTTAGTTTATTAAGTATGTCAATCATTTTTTTCCAAAATATACCATGTAGAGGCACTGAGGAGATTGGGGATGGCCAAGTGGAGAATGGGATTGAGGGATTCTCTACTTGGCTTTCTCCCCAACCCCCTTAGAGTCTCTACACAGTCTGTGCTATTTGCAGCTTTTACCTTTCTTTGAAATATCTCATCTATTCCCATGTCTGCTTTACAAGCTCTACGGCAAGGAGTTGTTTGTTGAGGACCAATAGACACATTTCCCATAAGGTGGTTCTCATTTTCATCGGAGTTTTGAATGTGAAACTCAACAACAAACCAATCTCCTTTTCTTAGATCTTCAATGTCATTAACTTCAATATTCTAAAAAACATAAAAATTTAACACAAAGATGAAATCAGAACTTGTCAAGTTTCACTATAAATCTTTGATGAAATAGTTGCACAAAAGAATCATTTATTATTTCAAATTATAAAATTGTTTATAATATAACGTGCGCTCTGATTGCTTCTAAGCTTAATTCTTTCATGTTTTTCCACTCCCACCGTGTTTATATCAGAGGACAGAGACACGCAACACATATATACATAATGTTTTCTCATGTGCTTTATTCTGATTCTGATTTTACCTGCTTGTTGCCATTGAGTAGCAAAAAGCCATTGGAGTTGACAGTAACCTCCATTGATAAATCTTTTGCTACCTCCAGAGAGTTTGTTTTCAATAACCGATGATTACTAAAAGCCTCGATGTCTTTCACTCTCTGTAAATATGTATAATTAATATTAGTGAGAAACTTTTGTGTAAACTATGACAGATGTATCCAGTTTTTGCTCTTTATATTCTTCATTGCTGAAGGAGAACTTTCAAATATTTATAAAAAAGACACATTTGGACATGTTTTTTGTTATATTCAACAATTTAGTCACCTTTAAAGTTGAATCACTGCCATCTTGGTGCATGAACGCAACTCGTAGAAACCACACCCGTCCACTAACAGGATTAGCTGCAAACAGTGCTACTTGGATTCTTGGAGCTACATAAGCTTGAGAATGTGTTAAAAGGTGTCTAGGACTCTTTGGTTTAGGTGGTAATGGTGGAGGCATACCAGGGGCAATACTGTGCCATTCATCCATCTTRTGTCTTCTCGGCGGTAGCTTTGGTGCAGGGCTAGGTCTTGGTGGTAGAGGTGGAGGAGGTATTACTGCTGGTATTGTAGAGTAAATACTACTTTGAAGCTGCCAGTTTTCATAGCAGCCCTTGAAGCTACTACCAGAGAATATATTCACRTAGGTATTGGGTGCTTCAGGCTCTAGAATGTYGTCATCTCTCATGACATTCATGTACATGTAAAATTGAGGTCTGAGTTGAACATTTGCATAGTACTGAGTTGAATCATATTGAGTTATATCACTTCCATTCAGGCTCTGCTGRTAATCATCTTCGCTGTTTTCACTGCTATCATGCAGTATTGAATGTTGATTTTGCAAGTTTGAATTCTTTGGCTCATCTAAAGTATCATTGCTACTTGACATTGAACCATTGGGTTTACCAAAGTTCAGCTCGTGAAATTTGTTCTTGTTGTTYTTGTCAAATGAATGACTTTTAAATAACTTGATGGTTTCTTTATGAGATTGCCGTTGGATTGCAGTATCTGAATTGCACCGCCGTGTAGTTTGGTGGCCAGGATGTCTTATTTCAACATGTTCTTTAACTAGTGTATTACTGGTAGACTGCCTTCTTGGATGAACTGGCGATGTTTCAACATCACTCATTGACGTACTGTCACAGATTTCATTCAGCTGTGGTGATGATGTGCAGGGTGCAGGGTGAATCTCATTTTGTATAAATGGTGGTTGACAAGGAATCAAAGTATCATCTATTGTCATTGCCCTTGTATTAACACCTTCATTCACACTATTACTTGAATAGATTTTTTTGCAGTTGGTGTTAATTTTCTCTTGGATTGTTTGGATATCATCTTGTGAATTGACAAACAAGAAGCACTGTAGGTTTGAGTTGTGGTGGTCAATGATGCGAAACCCATGTCGTTCCCATTGGAATTCAGCAAGAGGCTCAATGAGTTCCCATTGGTGAAGCACCCTGATGCACGGACTTCGTGATGTTAAGCATGCATTATGCTTGTAGATGTGCAACACTGTTGGTCCTGATGGCACACAGCTGTTTGGATCTGCATCAACTGATACTTCAAATGATGTCACTGTTGGAAGAGAAAAGTAACGATTAACTGAATATTTTATTGAATGTGTGGTATGCTTGGCACCTAGGAAATACAAGAACAAGAAATGGTGGAAATGTGTGGTGCTTGGAAAGGAAGCTATTCCAGGAAAAAAGACCCCTAATTTCTGACCTCGCTGGAACTTGAACCCACAACCTATCACAAATATTTTGTAGCCAAAGTTTGATGTAAGCAATGAATCAATAATAAGTCAGAGACATGAATTATAAATTAACAAATCTGCAAGTGAGCTGTTATCTGAAACTGCATTAGGACTGAAATATCAAAAGCGATGTAATACTAATTTACCCAAAAAAAGGTTATAAAGTGTATGCAATATAAGCTTAGTAACGGTATTGAAAAAAATGTCTCATCCATGTGTGTGGAGTATGATTTCCAAAAAAACTACTTACTGTCACACAGCGTTTCCACACTATTTGCAAGATTGTCAAGGTCATTGTATTCTTGTTCACTATAAGCAGCAAACTGGTACTGAGGCTYGCTTGGTTTGGTCTTCTTCAAYGGTACCAGAGTCAATAACTTGCATGTCTTGTCCTCAGCTAAGTCTCTAACAACAGCATGACTGTGAATGGAAATATCTACTCGTAGATCTGTGTCTGAACCAAACTTTCTTATTGCTCTTGTGACTGGTCGGTGAGGACGRTATATCTCGAGGTAATCTGTCAACAATGATTAGCATGGTTAATACAATGCTAGGATTCATAACTGGATAAATAGCCTTTAGATCCATTTCCACTTAACTCACATTACAAATGTGACACTTTCCCCTTTCTTATATACCTTTTTTATATAACTATGGCATTGTCATTTAAAGTTATGGTCTAAATTCTCAGGCAGATTGCATAAATCAAGGTGTTTATTTGTTCCATATTTTCAATTGGATTTGGGTGCAGCCAAGAGTGATCTTTGAAATTTCTTTATAAGGCAAACTTTGACTATATTAAGGTTTTATTTATAGCATTATTCATATGTACGTCAAAATCAAGGCTATTTATAAACATCTGTGGTTTCTCTTTGCTTTGATCAAGCAACCACAGAATATTTTCAACTCCTCCCTAATTRAACAAAAGAATATCACTTAAATATAAATTAAAGCTTTCAACTCAGATTTTTTTAGACGTTTTGTTCAATATGAAGATCACATGCTGAGAGGCAAATACGTCTCAAGGCACATGACTGCACAAAATGGTCCCATGAGGTATTCTCTGATATATTCCTTATCAGTYACGTTATACAAAGTGGTATTCCCTTCTGACAAAAGGCTTGTAAATATGACTGTTTATCTTTTTTAGCAATTTTGTTTATATTACTTTTTTTTGGACAATGTTTAATATCTAGCCTGACAAATAAAGTTAAAAAAACTGATATTAAAAAAAGAACAATATGACTAAATAAATGAATAATAAACTGAGGAAATATTGCTATAGCAACATGTCAAACTTTTCTCATTGCTGCTACTAAACAACATGCTCCTTAAAAGTGTTCTTTTATAAATATATCATTAAATTATTCAGACATGAAGTGAAGATGAACGGTTGACTGACTTGACGTCAATCGGGAAAACGGGGATTCCCGGAAATCTTATTATTTGTATCAAATTACATTACAATATGAAAAATATTACAGAAAATCTCTTGATTCTTTGGGTTAATACACACAGTTCTGTTAAGCAAGCATACGGTTTGAGTTTACTTTGTTTAGTTTAAGTTTGAATAGTTGTTGAATATTCATTAATTTGTGAGAGATTGTTGTCTACGTAACCTGCGACAACACTTTTGGTTCGTAATTATGAAGCTTTTCCCAAGTCAAATTATTAATCAAATGATGTAATTTATAAAATACTACGTACTACTGTAAGTTAAGACCTCGGTTAATCCAATATTATTTGCAATTACAATTATATATAGAGAAAACAACGTTTCCGCAAAAAAACAATTAGTCGGAAACAGTTTGAAGCTTAGGCTTACTGATAAAGCAACTTACGTTTTTTGTCGGATGATTCCTTAATTGTCACATGCCTTTTTGTCCACTGGAAGAAGAAAAACAACCACGTTAGTGACGTATTATTTGCAGTTTACACACAGTTAACGAAGTACATGACAATGCTTCCTTATCAGTCTTATCATCGTACTTCGTGCATTTTGTGCCCTCCGTTTATTAAAACTTGATTGTATTTACAATAAATTATGGCAAAATATGTTCTCATTTACCTTTCCAGTCTTCTTTTTAAAAAGAAGCTGTGTTGAATGCCCTCTTGGATGGTTTAACAAGCTCGGCATTTCTGTCTATGCTCATGACACGGACTGCTCGCGGAAGCAAAGTGAGATAGATCCCTCAATCATGCTGTCATTATAATGTGTAGGTGGAGCTGTGACGTAAATCGTGCTTAAAATAGTTCACGCTGACGACCGTTTCGGCCTTGTTATTATGTTTCAGTACTATCCAAAATTATTTCTCGTGTTTCCAATCAGTATTTCTGTCAGAGCCTATTGATGTATTAATTAGAACGTCTTTTTAATAACAAAATGTAATTTCGATGTAAACGCACACCAGAAGGTAGATAAACGAATCATGAGTGTTTTCAGAGTGTTTATTGAAACACGTGTGTTGCATGATATTATAATTAATTGTGTATTTTGCATGATATTTTTCTATAAATTTAATAGAAACCAGGAATTTTGATGAACATATTATAATGCACGTGGAGCCAGCGAGGAGTAGTTTGGCTTGAACCACAGACAATATTAATATTTGTCTGTTGATTGCTCGACGGAAGTATTTGTGACGTAAATCGTAAAGGTTGATGATTAAATATTCATTAAACTCTGCATTAAACTGAAGGATATCGTTCAGATAATCACTACCATGATATATTCCTATAACGATTTATCATTGACACTCAAATAGTATAATATGATCAATGAATTTATACAGTACAACAATATATAAAATATACAATCCATTTAATGATGCAACAGATCTACAGAAACRTTATATAGATCGTAAGGATTGCCATATTTATTGGTTTATACGCGGAGTAGTAAACAAGTGACTTAAATCGGCCATTAATCGGCTGCTAAAAACATAATTTATGCTATATTAAAGTTATTTGAAATAACTTTAATATAGCATAAATTATGTCATGGAGTACAAAGTCTCAACGTGTGTAACATATTTAAATATCACAATTAGACACTGCTAAATTACACTGATTCCATTGTTTCCTTTAATTTTTATTCTTTATTTTTAAGCTAGCACTAGTTATTGGTAAGTAGTGCAAAATTTATCCTCTGGTCTAAATATCAATTAATTTATTTGTTTCAAACAATCATTCTCGAGTATGCAGAGGACCACACGCCTGTTAGCTTATCGTACTGGGGCGTTCAGAGAGCTGATTGGAAACAAATTCGAAACTTCCTTTAAATATCACCTATTGTAACCAATACCGTATGTCTCAACTTGTGATATAAATACGTGTAATGCATTATGACATAGGCACAATTGCTATATTTTGAATTATCGTGATAAACAACGATATGGATTGATATTGACACTGTTCTGTCAGCATGGTCAGTTGCAAAGGCGGCCAAGTCACGTATATATGCTGAATTCAATGTAAAATAAGAGAAACTGGTGGCTACTAGCAGTAAACTAGTGTGAGCTGCGTCGGTGTTTTTAAAGAAGCAGGCTCATAACTCCGACAAATGATTAACGTCCGAAACGCCAAAAAAGTTCAGTTTCGTCACCTACTATTTTACGGAGTCAAATTTATCTCTTTACACACGATTAAAATACGCGAATGCACCTGTTACTTCCATTATTTATCCAACTCAGCACGTGTGTTACTGAAACGGATCTCATGATGCATCATAGCTTCTATGCTTGGTTAGATGCTATTAATTTATTCGTGCAGTCACTAGACAAGTGCCTTCTCGAGCAGAACCACACCCTGACTGAAGTGTGTGAAGGCATAACGACATCATACATCACTGTCGGGCTCTTTGAGCGTTCCATTTTTCAGCAATAAAAGTGCATCGTTGCACAGACTGATTGTGAAAGGATGGGGTTATCATCTTATTATATTGCGTGCCCGCTAATTTGGTAAGGACTTTTCTCTGATATTTATGCTGTCGTCACTTGAAAGACCGTAATAACAACGATGGTCCATGACCAAACTATAATTACTACATCAGAAATGCTAACAATTAGCTTGCGCAGCGGCTCTAGGGGAGGGGGGAAGGGAAGGAGATCCTCCCCGCCCCCTCCCCTTCCGTTTCCCCCTCCCCCCTCCCTTAGAGCCGCTACGCCGGCTAGCTAACGATATGACGTTCAAACCGGAAACCGGTCTTAGAATGCAATGCTTCACAGCGTACGGCTAATTTTTTTGTCAGGACTTCGCTCTGATATTTGTATTTGTAGACCTCGGGCGGCCTATCCGAACCTATTGGCAGCTTTTTTTCCGAGGATAGCTGTCGGCACTTGAATGACCGATGATCTACCAAACGATAATAACTACATCGGAAATGCTAACAATATTTGTGACGTTCAAACCGGAAAACCGGTCTTAGAATGCAATGCTTCACAGCGTCTATTGTTACAAAAAGGAAGTGACAGAATGAATACATTTGGTACGGTTTTAATATCGTACGTCGTTCCATTGTGGAAAGCATAAAATTTTGCATGATAAGATGCAATTGCATACACAATTTAATTGTCGAAAAAACATGTTTATGCATTAAGTTTCGTCACGACGCAGATTAAAGCTCCTTGTTTGAGCTAATCGTCGAGCTTTTGCCGTTGAGCAACAGTCGCACCAAGGTAACTGATATATAGGATTCAAGCTCGACGCGACGATAGAGCGATTTATACTGGGCCTGGTTTAAGTATGCTTCGTCAACAAGTATTCCCGCTATTTTGCAAATGGTTTTTATAAATCAATTGCTTTTATTTCGGTTTGCATTACTTCTACATTCTGCTAATTTAAGTGCGTTTTTKTCAGTTTATGTGAGTTTTGCGTCGTTCTTTTGCGTCGTTCTTGAGGACTTGTTCTCAGTCCTCCCGCGACTTCTACCGCTAAACAGTTACAAATGCTGGCTCATGTACGCCATTTTGGTTTAATGTTGTGAAACTAGCGGTGGTTACATTGATTTTTGGCTATTTGTTGACTATTTGTTGGCATTTTTTCAATATGTTCTCAGATCCTAACCTTTATTCAAATTTTGTAAAGGCATCAGAACGTTTATCTGGCGAAAATTTTCGAAATAATAACACAAAAGTATGCCAAGACATTCAGGGAAGACTGTCGGGAAGGGAAGCGAAGGAGTTTTATGACGATCTTGTATCATCAACAGTTCATATCAACGATACAGACAGCAGTAGAAGAACAAACTTGAAAGATCCTTTCAATTTGGGTGACAAACGTGTTGAAAGAGTGTCGAAACGACGTCAACTTGAAGAAGCAACAACTACCACAACAAAATCAGCTGTTTGCTCACATAACAAATCTAGAAAAAAATGTTTAAGAAGAAAATCAAGCGAGAATGACGCTGTAAGCAGTCGTTTTGTTAACAAATATCTGCAACATGCACAGAACGGTGACTTGAATGAAGTGAAAATATTACTAAGTGATGATAAAGTTGACATAGACGTGTGTGATCAATTTGGTTGGACTGCTCTGATGTGTTCTGCATATAATGGACACAAAGATATTGTGAAGTATCTTTTGAGTCAAGGAGCTTCTTGGAAAAACACAAAGAACGCTAGAGGTCAGACRGTATTAGACCTCTCAAAACTAGCCAAACAGCAAGACATTGTTGAACTTCTGACTAATTGGGATCTTGTAAACTGTAGAAGTAGCAGGAGAAAGTACAGTGACAAAGCTACACGTAGTCCTTTTTGGTGTTGTATATGTCAGCAAGATTTCACAGAAGACAAGAAGAAACACCAAAGCTCAACAGTGCATTTGTTCAATTGTCAACATAAACCTAAGGACACTTATTTTTCAATTCCCATCAACAATCCAGGGTACAAGATGATGGTCAAGTCTGGATGGGACGATGAGAAAGGTCAATCTCATGGGTGGTAAAGGGATATCTTCTATTGTCAATTAGTAGTATTAACATTTTAATGTATTTCTTTTAATAGGTTTAGGTCCAGAGGGTGAGGGCAGAAAGTACCCCATCAAAACAGTTTTGAAAAGAGACAGATATGGTCTTGGCAGTAGCAAATCCTCCAAGCCAAGAGTGACCCATTTTGGGCCAAATGATGAGGAAGCTGTTAAAATAAAGAAAAATCATGAAAGAAAGGAATCCAAAAGAACTTTATCAAAGAAACAGAAGAGAATGAAAGAAAGCAAGGAAAAGGCATGGGAACGAAATATGAGATTATACATGAACACTTAATTATTAACTTGAATTAACTAACAAGCTGCAATAAGATATGAAATTTATGATATCAAAAATAATATTTGGTTTAATGGATTATTTCAAGATATTTTTTAAAGCAATTTGTCATTTCAATAATGTAGGGGGATATTGCAATAAGTTACATATGGCTTGACAAGGAAAAAATTGACAATACAATGACTCCTTTTTATACCAATTTGAAAGTGAATTTTTCTCCGATCAGTGCTTTTTTATTAAGAAGTCTCATGCATTTCAAGCGCCATTTTTCAAGCCTAGTAGTTTGTTCTTCTTCTACATGGGGAGTCTGAAGTTCTGTTGTTGCAAGTGTTTGTTTTTCATGCTCATTATGAGCTTCCTTTGCTGCCATGCGAGCTGCATTCCCGGCTTTAGAAAACTTCAATGCCCTGAGCTCTTTCTCTCTTTCACATCGTCCACCAATATCCTCTGCCGTCATGAYTACCTCCTTCTTGCTATTTCCACTGAGTAAAAACTGTAATCTTCTGGGGGAAGGCTTGGAAGTAGGGGTGTTATAGGTGACATCCGTTAACAAAGAAGGCTTGCGGTTTGTCATTGACATTCTTCGWTCTCTTGTTGATTCATGGTCAATATTTATGATGTCATGAACCAATGAGCTGCGGCGGACATGTTTTGACTCGTTCATTTTCTTCACATTTTCTAATGACATGGATTTGCGCTGCACGTCTGCAAGCATCTGTGAGGATTTTGACCGCATTTCCTTGGCTGCAATAGTCCTAAGCAGTTCGTCTCTTAAAGAAACACGTCTCTTAGGGTTGTCGTACTGATGACCTGCTAGGGTGTGTCTTCGCCGTCCTTTATCGAATGTTAAAGTGACGGGTAAAGATACTATTGGAGACGTCAGACAGCTCACCGTTTTAGTGCTGCCGCGTGTTGGAGTCATGTTTTGTGGGAAGATTTCTTCTTCTAGAAATATTCAAGTAAGGCAATTGTTAAAATTAATCCCAGTTTTCTGTAACATTAGGAATCATATCCATGTGCAAGCCGATTTGACCTCGAAAATGGTTRGAGAAACAATTTCTAAAACACCAGTATTTCTTTGCGTTGTATAAGTTATCCTTTACCCAACTGTTTATGTATAATTGTGGAGATAACATCATCACTATCATAGCTATCATCATCCCACTTACCATATTCATTTATAGGTGGGGGAGGGGGTGGAGGGGGGTTCATRCGTGATGGTGGTGAATCTCTATGGCCAAGGTAAGCTAAATCARGGTTTTCCCTGAGTTCTTCCTTGACCCAGGGATCTTGAAGCAGCTGTTCAGCGGTAGGACGCTTGTTTTCGTCCATGGTCAACATTCTCTTTATCAAATCTCGGCAGGCTAGAAACACATCGATACTTAGCATTAAACTCAACGGACGGAATAAACGAGTATGCAAAACATTCAGAACCTTTCATTTAGGGCTTTCTCTACTCACATAGACTCACTCACATATAGGASTAGTCTCTTTTCACTTCCGGTCTCGTCAAATTTCCTCTTTGATGAGACCGGAAGTCGCGGCTGTTAAAAGAGACTAAGGCCCCGTCCACACTACCCTGGTTCCAGAGGCTTGTCTTTTATTCTTTGGCTTATTATTTTGATCGAGCCGCGAAGCAACGAGACTTTTCCRTTAATCGGTTTGTTTGGCGAAACCGATATAGGAGCTTTTTACAGCAGAAACCGTTGCATCGCGACTTCGATGTTCAAAGAAAATAGTTGGGATTTAATTTTTTGCAACTTGGGGGAGGAGCTTGATACTAATCAGCCAATGATTGAACGAGTTTTCGAAAAGCTCCACCCCTCAGATTGAAAGAAAGAACAAAATCCAGACAAACTTCAAAACAAAGTCGCGATTTCCGCTGTAAATGCATCAAACCAATGAAACAAAATATGCAAGTGGWTACATACAAATGGTCTATTGCACAAGACTGCATAATATAATCTGTTTCAGCTGCAATTCGACCTCATTTGTACCTTGGCTTGTTTTCTTAGAGAATTTTAACTTTCGTGGCTCCTTTTTGATGATAAATCTCAGATCATCGTCACTAAAGGGCAGACGGGAACAGACGAGGGCGTAAAGAACCACACCCATACTCCAGACGTCAGAAGCGGGGCCCTTGTACCTCTCACCGCGGAGGATTTCAGGACTRCAGTAGGCATATGAACCACAAAATGTTTTCAGGAACGGACTTGAGTAGGTATTTGTTGCGAAACCAAAATCTGTAAAAAGAGCAAGGTCAGCATTTCAGTAAGATTTCATGAAATTTATAAATAAAGAAAATCATTGAAAAAAATACTATCTTGCCTGTTATTTTGATGCGTCCCTTGTCATCAAGAAGAATGTTTTCGCATTTTAGATCACGATGGACTACTGATTCTTTGTGGCAGTACGCCATCGTTGCCATAAACTGACAAAACAGGGCGCGCGCCTCATCCTCTCCAACTGTATTCTTATTATTGATATATTCAAGTAAATCTCCACCYTCCGCTAGTTCTAGGATAAGGTAAACTTTGATTTCTGTTTCGATGGCTTCGTACAGTTTTATCTGAAAACACATTAAAGTACGTTCAACTGTTTGGAATAAGCAGTAGTTCTGATTGAAGTGTGCTAATTCCACTTTCTCAATTTCCATGCGTGAATTCTACATTGCACATTTTGTCTATTTTTAATACAAAAACTGTTACTCACTATGTTGGGATGATTTAAACGATGCATTATCTGAATCTCTCGTGGTAAAAACTTATAGATATAATCCTTAGGAGCTTTACGCTTGTCAATAACTTTGATGGCAACATTGCAGTTGTGTTTACTTGACTTGGCAAGTTTTACTTTTGCAAAGGCTCCTTCTCCAAGATTAGAAGAGATAGTATATCCATGAACTTCTAACGTTGTTTTATGTCGTTGTTTTTTCGGTACCCATGTATCATTCTTTTTGACCAGCTTTATAGCGCCTTTTCCTGGCACGCTGTATCTTGAGGTCATTCCTATTTTTATATCTCAGATCTTTTGTTCCCAGGGAATCATAGAGACCACCTGGGAATTACCTTTTATATTACAAATTGAGAATTACAATGYATTCTCGAAAATCACGTTGTGCGCGAGAGTTTTTAAGACGCGCCAAGTATGACGTCATAATAGAAAATGACGACATAATTAGCCATTGAACTCTAATTTAACCGAGTGCACAACATTTTTGGATGAAAAGTTCACTTTCTTAGTTATTTTGATTTGACTTTCTTTAATCATTGAAAGGTGAAGGARCRYCATRGGAGCCTTAYGAACCACATGGTGYAGACCAGCTGATGATGTGTTGTTRCCGATGATCCTTACTGTTTGGGGTCCCTTTGTTTTTCTGGCCTCCATTGGGCCAAGGCATCTCGTCGATGTCATCTTGTCCTCTTCTGACGCTGATTTTAAACTGTTGCAAGCTGAGTCGCGTCGCCAAAATTGAAGTAAGTTCTCGTAAATGWACATTTTGTTCGCTCCAAATAAATTATAGCGATACTTAATGTTTATCAACAAACTCAATCTTGTTTTAAGGTACTAGGACTGGCAAAGCGTTCAAAAAAATACCCAACTTTTTTAGCGTTAATTAGATTCTTTTCGATACATATAATAACTAAGGGATGTTTTTAATCGTCAAAACATTGAATTTTTATGAGAAAAACGACCCAGAACTTCGTATCCAGGCATGAATTCGCGGGAAAATATGATACTTTGTTTGTGAAACACGAGATAACCAGCCTTGTAGTCTTCAATCAATCAATCAATGTTTATTTTACATTTCACATAATTTACATATTTATACTATTAAAATAATAATTAAAAATCTGTCTAACTTATGTCTGAAATGTGAGGAGAGCAGTAGAAGCGTCAATTGGCTTTTACAAGACGCTCCCCCTTCACATTAACTTATTTTTAACTAAACAGCTGGTATCAGTATGCATGAGTATAAAATAAGTAAGATACAATGGTATTATCACTATGGTTTTAATTAAATGATGACTGATGGCGATATTTTTTAAAAAATAGCTCTAATTAAATCCCTTCAAAACCATACACAACATCAGCAACACATGAGATTAAGGTAAAATGTATTTTATTAAAAAAAAAACAATTTTGAATCAAATGCTTTGCTTGGGTTGTCTCAGTTTGATCATTTTAGAGGTCAAAGTACCCGGGCAGCGTTCAGTACCTGGAACACGCGAGTATTTGGTTACAAGATCGCTTTTTGCTGCTCACAATTCTCCAGTTTTGAATATAGTGGACATTTTCCATATAATTTAGCTAGAAATTTAGTCTAGAATCAAAACAATGAGTATTTTAAATGTTTTTAGTGATCATCTTTAGTCGCAAAACGTCCGAGCTCGTGTTACTTTAAACTCCGCATGCTCAGTCGAGTGCAAACAATATATCTGTGAAACACTAGCTAAAACTATTTTTTACTAAATTTTGCTAAATTTAACTAAATCATTGCAAACTATAATTTAKTGTGGCTACTGGACCGTAGAAGCGTGTTGTAGAGTGCTTGGGTCGTGCTTTTTTCAAGAATAGCGTTGCTACAAAATCAAAATTCAAATTCAAAACTAAAATCTATAAACAAATCTAAAATAACAAACGCAAGTAAAATGATTTCAGAGCCTCTACCAGGAGACTTTATTCCTTTGTGCTGATGCCGCAAAAACGACAAAAGACACAATTTAATCTAAAWWAAATAACTACAAKRCACAAGAAAACGCGTTTAAGAATGTTTATTTATTTGCGCTGCTGCAAAATCAAGACACAAGGCACGTCTAAAGCTAAAACAACCACACAATACACAAGAAAACGCGTTTAAGAATGTTTATTTATTTGCGCTGTTGCAAAATCAAGACACAAGNTGACAAGAACCAACAGCGCCCTTTTAATATCTTTGCTTGATGTTCAAAATAAACCGCAAAAGGAGTTTATCGCTTCTACGGAAAAGTTTGTGAGATACGTACCTTTTTAGCATGAGACTTTGGTTCTAATTCCAGCAGCATTTGTAATGGTTATAAGTGTAGCTGGCTAGTTGAGCTCCGAGGACAACGTGTGCATAAACGCACGTGCACTTCTCAACTAAATTGCACGTGCACACTAAATTTAGTATATTTACGCTTCGACTATTTTTCACTAAATTTTACTAAATTTCACTATTTTAATTTAGTGTTGCACGGATATATTGCTTGCACTCTAGTTTTGCTATGGATTACATTATTTGTTTATCCAGATTTTCGCGGGAAGCCAGGAACGATTCGATTCCGATGAATTTTCGGCCTTTTCGACCACTGTTCGTCCTCAAATCAATACAAAGTCGTCAGCTTTTTGAAATACAACACGAGGAACAAAATGGTCGCCATTTCTGCGAGATTTTATTCAAATTTTACTCTTGTTACTCACTCGAAATAGAATAACTTTCGTTCTGTTTGATATTTTTGCAAGGTATTTGGTAAAGATTTAGAACATTTATCATATATTATGAATTAAAGAAGCCGGAGCTGTGTATCAAATCCCTAGAATTTTACGGCCCATTTCGCCGATCATCCCAGAAAAACCGAAATATTTTTTCTGTCACTCCGGCTTCTTTAATTCTTATGAAGGTTCAAAAACAGTTTATAAAAAAGTTGTTTTCAAGCTCATGTTGTTAAAAACTGAAGAGATATTTACGTTTTTTTACAAAAGTTCTTCAGGATGCCTGTCTTGTTTTCACACCTTAGGTGTGAAATCTGGCACTCTTAAATTAACATTTCGAAAAACAATTTTATATACAAGCTAGTTATCAAGTTCAATTTGGTCTAAAGTGAATACAGTTTGAATAGTTTTTTTTTTTTCAAATGACACCCACTTTTGCCAGTCCTAGTATGGCCAAAATTTTTCATGAAAGTCTCCCAGTCATGCCAAGTTTTGCATTCGGGAGGAAAAGCACGGGTCTACATTTTCGGTACAAAATCATCGTTATTTTGATCATCAAAGCTCGATTCTTCCTCTGAATACTCAGAATTATCGCTAAAATATCGCTGTTTTCATCCCCATTTCTTTAATTTGGATCAGACATCTAAAAACTACATATTTTCAACTAATTAGACAACAAGAATCATGCGAAATCCTCCATATTTATTAGAAAATCCGCGCGATTTGCTCGAAAACTCACCACAAAACGATCGATGTTTTCACTTCGGTTTGACTTCAAAAATACGATGCCTCGATTCCATGATGGTTTGTTAATATAAACAAAGCTTTTGATTCGTCGAGAAAACAAAAGAACATGGGTTTTTGACCAATCAAAAGCGATGGCTCAAGGAAAAAATTTCGATTTTTCAACAAATACTTGGCGCTTTGTTTCCTTTTCGAGCGGAGTATGGGTTTCCTGTGGTGGTACACGGAATCCAGGACGGAACGACGGACGGACGGAAGGAAACGTGCGTACGCGCGGGAACCCTGTGTCGGTCCATGGAAAATCGACTCGATGGTATCACAGGGAGCCCAAGCAGTGACTTTGAACCTATAATGGTTAAAAATAAAATTTTACTTAAAAAAATGGTCTACTTTTATTTTATTCAGTGTCRCAATGCATTATAGATGGGTTTAAAAAAATTTCCCCTCCATGTATATATATAGTTTAGAAGTATTTGGGTAATCGGACTCTATTGTTAAGGGGGGGTGCTGTTTTTTGTGTGTTGTGGAGTGGTGATTTTGTGTAAGAAATATACATGTATATTAAATACAAATGGATTGATCCTGGTGTCATGGTAGACCCAGTTTAACATTACTCATCAGGGGCTGAGATGATAAACTGTTGTCATTATGGTGGATGACAAACGTGTTTCATACTCCAAGGCCTTAGAGCTCAACCCTACACGCGGCAACCATGTGGATATCTATCCATTTGTATATGTGGTGTTTTTGGATGAAGGAAAAATTAAAGTTTTTTCGATGTAGTGTGTGGATTTGCCAAAATCGACTTACATACAATGATCAGCCAAAAGTCTAATAAAAACCGAAAAAAGCAAAAAGTAGGAGAATGTTAAGTAAAGAATTAACTAAGATGTAGTATCGGTGTGTATGTGGACCGTAAATTTGCATACCTGGCAAGAAAAAAGGCTTTTTCATATACATGGAGGGGAAATTTTTTTAAACCCATCTATAATGCATTGTGACACTGAATAAAATAAAAGTAGACCATTTTTTTAAGTAAAATTTTATTTTTAACCATTATAGGTTCAAAGTCACTGCTTGGGCTCCCTATGATGGTATACCATTTTTTCTTAGGTATGGTGCCCCGCCGAAGGCCCGCGCGGGAGCTCCGCTATAAAACTTAACTTAAGACTTTAATATATATTATATTTATTACATCACAGCAGCCCTGRCTACATTTGTATATTTTCTCTTTATCTCAATCATGCTGCTGATGAAGGATAACTTTACTCGCTTAAACTTATAATGTATATTCATAGGGAGATGGCTGCCTTTGGTTTCTTTGTGACAAGACTGATCAGACCTCAAATCATCCATCTACGTCCRTTCAGTACATTTTTTTATCGAGAATTCTTTAGTTCTCAGCCGTTTTTAACTCAAAAAGATGCAACTTTTAACCAGCTAAATGCAACAGATATATCCCCCAAAGGCGATGACCCCATTTCAGGTCGCAAATGGCTTGCAGGWTCTCAAGGAAAAGGTTTCCCAAAATTCCTGGCAAAGCCTCGACAAGACTTTCCACATGCACTTCAGTTGAAAACCGGTGACCAGCAGTATAGGTCAAAAGAGCTAGCTGATATCTGCAAAAGCATCATAGACAATGACCTAACAAAATATGGTGCAATACTTTTTCGTGACCTCCCATTGACCAAGGCAGAAGATTTTGCCGATTTTTCTGTTTCTATGGGTTATGAAACCATGGACTACAAAGGAGGATCAGCAAATCGCAGACTTGTGAATAAAAACGCGAATGTGTACACGGCTAATGAYGATCCATCAGCCTATACTATTGAACTTCATAATGAACTGGCTTATGCACCAGTCTACCCAAGAAAGGTWAGAGAAACTTCTCTGTGACTTTTATCMCCAAGTTAKGATGATTCASAAGTRAAGTAACCATAAACAGAAAAGGAGATGGAAGCAGAATGGAAGGYTTTTACTTTCTTATTCTGATTTCTTCATCRTTTCCCTCACTATCYCTTTGSTARTCAYTGATTTTCACATGCGGTGAATCGCCTTCCTTCTCAGCTTCACTAGTAAAAGGGAAAAGATGTTTTTTCATACCTTGTGCAGCCAGATAGCTAACATGTAGGACCAGACAATAAAAAAGAAAACATAAATTAACTACTAATGTAAGCTTATTACAATGTATTTGTACTTTACAGCTATTGTTCTTCTGTTTGGAGCAGCCTAATGAGGGATGTGGTGGTCACACCCTGCTGTGTGATGGGAAAAAGATAATGGCTAAACTAAATCCAAAATTACTGCAAAAGCTTGAGGATAAACATGTCAGGTACTGGTATCGAGTTCCKCATGAGAACAATACTAGCTACAGATCCTGGCAGGATATGTTTGACACTTCAGACAAAAAGGTAACCTCTAAGGAAAGAATATGTACTTCATACATTTTAATGCACCAGTGATATTGGGATTTTAAGGAAATAAATCATGTGTAAAACATCATTTCAAACTTGAAACTATGATTGGACAAGTATTAGTCTAACCACCTTTTTGTTTACTAGGAAGTCGAGAGCTTCCTGGAAAAGGAAGGTTTTAATTTTTCCTGGGGCAGTAAAGATGATAGTCTTCAGTTTTGGATAACTCGACCACCATTCATAAACCATCCTGATACAGGAGAAAAGCTGTGGTTTAACCATCTACACAGGAAGCATCTCTCAACATTGATCGAGTCTCCCATGTTCCCAGTAGATGAAGATATTGACAGTGTATATAGACATACCAGTTTTTATGGCGATGGTAGTGAAGTTGAAGAGGAGGTCCTCCAGCACATTCGTGCTGTTGCATGGGAATGTACAGTTGGATTTCAGTGGCAAACAGGGGATTTACTAGTTGTGGATAACTTCCTGGTCTTACATGGAAGACTTGGTTTTAAGRGGAACAGAAAAATACTGGCCAATTTGCTGGCTAATTAGGGAAATAATCCCAACAGCAGTGAATGTTTTAAAGCTCTAAACTAATTATTCAAACCTATATTTTAGAATATTTTAGTATTTTAATACACATTTTAGATAGGTATGCATTTTAGGTCTAGGAAATACATTGTAGATATATAAACACTATGGCACTTCTATAAATGACAATAATTTTATTAATATATGAATGAGTTTTCTGCCTGGCATCAGCATCATGTATTCTGCATTACGAGGGAATGTAATCAAGTTTATTCCATGCAGAGAATAAGCATGAGCATAAAAATAGAAATTTAAAGTATTATAGCATATGATAGCTTGTTGTTTTTGGTCTTCTATGTAGTGTTTAAAAAACGAAGCAAATTCCTTCTTTTTGTGCAAGCCCAGCTCAATCATTTAGAGTCACGCAGTACTTCCGGTCACACAGTACGTACACGGACCCTTTTGGTCTAGTGACCCTGGACATGGGCCAGCTACAATTGTAGCTCGTCTATCGGTAACCCAATACCAAGATTACTTTACGATTCCTGTTCAAAGCTAGTTAAAATCAAGTAAATCTAGTCCTGAACGGGTTTTCATGGATAAGTATGCTGGCGTTCAAAGAACCGCGTGATAGACTTATGAATCTTCGAAACTTTGCTATCGTCCTCGAGGGAATTTTAT